TATCCTGGGAAGAACCAGCAAGAAACCCAGGCGGACTTTTTTTAAAGTAAATTTTATTATCAAAGGTTATACAAACTATTTACAAAATTTATTTTAAAAACAGCTTGGAAGCGACCAATTTCCCGATTGTAGTTATCAACCATGTATTAATTTATATTATAATAACGCTTTTTACACAGCTTTTGTTAAATAAAATGTTTAAAGTTAGTAATAGAGAGACGTTATATATTTTCTGGGATTTTGTTGTAATAGCGTATACATTGCCCCAAGAATGAATTACTGACTCTGTGGAGTCGAGTCGAGAAACACTCGCTTGTGTTTGTTCTTAGTGTTTACAGAGTGTATATATATTACTTTTTTACTAAAACTACTTTTGTTTTTGTGAACATACATTAAATTTCCGTAAATATACTGAGAGACGAAAGTTAATATATTCATTTCTTTAAAATTTTTTAAGAGACTCTCGTTGTTAGGTTGTAATTAACTCTTATGACCCTCTTTTGTAAGATAAAAATAGTTTCTAAATCAGTCGCATTTTGCCATAGCAAAATCCCATAAGACTTAAGAAAATTGAAAATCATAATCATAATATTCAACGAAGTTAACTGTTTTTGATAAAACAAAGACTAAATTTTCGTAAAGGTTCCGTGACACGTTCATAAACAAACAGATAGAAAAATCGACAGGCAATTCTAAAAATAATAGAAATGTATTTGATTACTTATCTTTAATTCTTCTCAATCATTTTTGTCATAAAATTAAACTATATACAGACACCTGCAATTTACATTTTTATTATTTGCATTGAAGATTGTAAACACGACAAAAGTCCTGTCTGTATAACTATCAAAATAAAAAAAAATATAAAAATAAGTTAACTATACATCTTTCAAGAAACATATGTCGGTCATGGATTCTTGAAAGGCCATCTCATCATTTCAAAAATATAATTAAAATTGAAAAACTTCGAAGGTATAGTAGTAGTACGAGTACTACGAGTAGGACGATGAAATGATTTATTTAATGAGTGACGCTAAAGCCCGAAAAAGTTTAATATAAAAACAAATGTAAAAGGCATTTCCCTGCTGCTTAAATTTATTTGCAAACATAACTCACTTCATCTTTTCCATTAAAGCGTAGGGTAAGAAATAGGACAAAAAAAAAGTTACTTTTGTCATTTTTCTTATATTAACTAGCAAACACCGGTATTTACTTCTAAAAATGTGAAAATATCGGAGGAAATCGAACAATCCACCTAATTATGTGAAAGAATGTAGCATTTTTGCATTTCGACTTAATAGACGCCTGTTAAATTACTTATCCTTATTTCTGCTTGTTTTGGATAGCAGTTTTTTATACTTGTTAATTCTTAAGTATTTACTATTTATCACTGTAAAGTGAACTGTTTTGTTATTATGTGATAAATAAATGTTTTTAAACTGAATTGACTGTGTTTAAAGCCGAAAGGAAAACTTTAATATTTTTCCTTTCCGAAGTTGAAATGAATGGGAGCTCCGTTAAAACAGGTTACATAATTTATGCATCTAGGCTATTGGGTCAACGAATGGAATCGAAAAAACTAATTACTGAACGATGACTTAGACTTGGAAAGAGAAGGGAGGGCGGTGGCTGTTAGATGCAACATGTTAACCCGCAGGTTCGCTCCATGCACTCATGAAGTTAAAATTACACGTTTTAGGGTTCCGTACCTCTAAAGGAAAAAACGGAACCCTTATAGGATCACTTTGTAGTCCGTCTGTCTGTCTGTCAAGACCCTTTTTTCAGGAACGCGTAGAGGTATCAAGCTGAAATTCATATCAAATGCTCAAGTCCACTGTCCCTTGGAGCTGTGAAAAAATCAAACTTCTAAGCCAACGCAATCAAAAGGTACAGCCGTTTATGCCGCAAATTTTCGACATTCGCAAGGGAATCAAAACCTACAGGGTACATCCCGTGAACTCAGAATCTTAAAATTTGGTACGAAGCAACGTATAAAAGAAGCACATATAAAGGAAAAATTGCGAAAAGCATAAATTTTTAGTTACATCATATAATACAACTATTTTTAATAATTTTAAACTTATATACCCACGGATTTGTTCGGAACCCTCGGTGCGCGAGTCGGACTCGCACTAGGCCGGTTTTTTTTAAGTCAGTTTGTCAATAATTTTATACCTATAATCTGTGGGTTAACTACACGTAATAAGGATACAACGCCCTAAGAGTACAGTATACCAACAGTTTCAGGGCACTGTTAGGGCTGCTTCGCTTTTATAGAGCATCGGGGATGTTCACAGAAGCGTGCACGGATGGCTACCATGCGATTACAGGTAACGCGAATACGAGGTATATATAAGAATAGTCTCCTGGAAACTGCTTAAATGGTATATATGTATAACACTGGATGATGACAGTTCTTCAAGTAATTAATAACTAACCGTTGTAACCTACCGTAGTTTCTAAGATTTTATATATGGTTACTAAACCTTAAGGTAGTAATTCTGAAATAAAAAGGTATTATTATTATAATATTATAATAATTTACCTTCTTTTTTTGCTTACAAGGTCTCCTGTAGTTGTAATTTGTTAAAAGGATGGCGTAGCTTTATATACTTTAAAATAATGTTTTCTATTATGGCTAATATTTGGTAAAAATATTTGCAGAAGCTGTCAGATAATATAGACTGTCGCGTTTGACGGCGTACTGCAACAGAATTTTATGAGTGTAATAAAATACATTTTTATAAGTAATAAATGTTTGCATGTACACAATTTTAAAATATTAAGGAACATTCTGTAAATCATTTTGGTAAAATAAATTATTGTAAAATAAATTACGTATTTTAACTTATTTATGCTTAAGATCAGGTCATAATTACAAGGTAAAAGCTTCCTTAAATTAAGTTACATCTTATGGACGACTCCTCGCTTATAATGAGTGTGTTTTAATAATTGAGTTGATAAATTAATATGTCGTTAATTTCTTACTTTCACGCACACGCACACGCACACGCACACGCACACGCACACGCACACGCACACGCACACGCACACGCACACGCACACGCACACGCACTAGCACACGCACACGCGCACGAACACACGTACACGCACACGCGTACACGCACACGCACACGCGCACGCGCACGCACAAGCACACGCACATGCACACGCACACGCACACGCACACACACACACACACGCAACGCACAAGCGCACACACACACACACACACGTACACGCACACGCACACGCACACGCACACGCACGACTCCCTCTTGGATGATTTTTAGCACAAGATATTATAGTTTAGGCTCACATATTCTACATTTTTATGTGCATTTTTGTGTATTTAAAAATAATATTTGTTACAGATAAATTATAAAATATAGGTGCGATTTGTGGGACAATTCAATAAAGGTTTCATTTCAAGGTTATTCATTTCACTAAGACACTGGAATATCTTTTGATTTTACGGGATGTTTATTATCATTAATGCTTCTTAGAATTCACGAAGATCTCTAATATCGTTAGTGCAACTAGATCGCTATACTATCACGTCAAACAAATTGTTAATTCATTCTGTAAAAGAAACGATTTTTTTTAATTTCGAAAAAGAGAGAAAGCGCAAAACTAATCATCTCGGCAAGATAATATGGTAATATAATATGATAATATGGTAATGGTATATCCATGTCAATTTTGTATAAAGTTTGCAATAGCTATCCGATCTGAAATATTTTCTGAATATATTCATAAATGTGTTTAAGCTGTGTTCTTCATTTCTTCGCAGTCTAGTTTTCGATAGAGGGTCTTTTCAAAAATGTACCAGCAGGTATAAATTTTGTAAAAACATTACATTTTTACGGATTATAATATATTTTAGATACAGATTTTCTTACTCATTTTTTGCGAGTGATTTTGCAACAACCACTAAAACTAGTCCACAAAATGTCATTTGAACTCTTTTCTCTTTACCTGTTAACCTAAGAACCGAAACCAAAGAACCTAATTTAGACTTGTCCAACAATAGTAATTGCTTAACTTTTTCAAATGCTAGTTCATAAAAAATTTCGAGATCGATACTGCCTCTAAAATAACACAGTATTATAAAATTTTATAACTTAAATAATATTTGCTGTCATTTTCGTAATGAGTGGACTACGTTATAAAAGTAAATAGGGAGCTATGCACATTTTCGAAATAGAAACGTTGTCCATAAATCATATTTTATCGTATGAACGTAAAGCGCTATGTGCGACCCATGCAGTTAGTTACGCTCATTTTGATGAACAGTAAAGATCAATTTGATTCATACTCGTACTGTACAGAAATATGATTCTATTTCAGAATTGTTATTCTTTTAAATGATAAAATTGAAAAGTGGTGTGGTTCAAATGAAGTTTAAATCGAAAGAGATAGGGCTCGTGTTGGTATATACAAAAATTAAATAGAGTAGAATAAACACTCACGCCTGTTACGCAGAGAGGTAGGTAAGGACTATAGACTTCAAATTGGTGTGATTTCTCACCATACATATGCTCTTCGTTTAAATTTTTTTTGGCCCATCTTGAATATATCGCCAATTTAGTCGATAAACTTCCTTCTAGAGTAGCCCCTGCTAACTCTGCTATTCACTTCTCCAACTAACAAATTTTCTCTTGTTACGCAATTTCTTGCCCGTCTTGAGGACTCATCCTTAATATATTATTTAATGACCGCATTTACATACCATTTCTTCTACTCTATGAAACAGAGTATAGCCGATTTTAGTAAAGATAAGTGGGACAACCTCATCATCATCATCATCATCATTACAGCCCTTCACAAGTCCACTGCTGAACATACGCCTCCCCCAAAGAATGCCACAAAGCACGGTCCTAAGTCACCTGCATCCATCAACTTCCTGCATATCTTACCAGGTCGTCACTCCATCTAGTGGGGGGACGCCCTACACTTCGCATGCCGGTACGAGGCTGCCACTCGAGAACTTTTCTTCCCTATCGGTTGTCGGTTCTTCGAGCTATATGGCCGGCCCATTGCCACTTCAGCTTACTAATCCCTTGGGCTATGTCGGTCACTCTGGTTCTACTGCGGACATCCTCATTTCTGAGTTTATCACGCAGAGAAACTCCGAGCATAGCCCTCTCCATAGCTCGCTGAGCGACCTTGAGCTTCCTCATCCGGCCAGCAGTGAAGGACCACGTCTCAGTTCCATATATCATCACTGGAAACACGCACTTTGTGTACAGTCTCGTTTTCAAGTTTTGAGGTATACCTGACGAGAAGATGTGCCGTAATTTCCCGAACGCTGCCCAACCGAGTTGAATCCGTCGATTGACCTCTCGGTCGAAGTTGGACTTACCTATTCGGACTATTTGTCCCAGGTAAACATACTCGTCAACAACTTCGAGCTTAGTGTTCCCAACAACTACCGGCATAGGTGTGACATGGACATTAAACATGATCTTTGTTTTGTCCATGTTCATCTTAAGACCTATCCGTTGGGAAACACTATTGAGGTCATTGAGCATAGTGCTTAGGCGTTCCAGCGATTCTGCCATAAGGACTATATCGTCGGCAAATCGAAGGTGAGTGATGTACTCGCTATTGATGTTGATACCGTATCCTTTCCAGTCCAGAAGCTTGAAAACATATTCCAATGCAGCGGTAAAGAGTTTCGGGGATATAACGTCACCTTGTCTTACACCTCTCTGCAATTGAATAGGTTTCGTACTCTGGTTCTGTACTCGGATAGCGCATCGTAGCCCTACTGTACAAGCACTTCAACACTTCGATATACCGACAGTCAACTTGGCATCGCTGAAGGGACTGCAGCACCGCCCAAATTTCGACGGAATCAATGGCTTTCTCATAGTCCACATACGCCAGACATAATGGCAAATTGTACTCTTCGGACTTCTGTACAACTTGCCAAAGGGTATGTATGTGGTCTATGGTGCTAAAGCCTTTTCGGAAACCGGCTTGTTCGGGAGGCTGGAAGTCGTTAAGTCTGCGCGCGAGACGATTCGTAATGACTCTCGAAAACAGCACGTAGACGCGGCTCAGAAGAGAAATCGGTCTGTAGTTCTTCAAGAGAGCGTTGTCGCCTTTCTTGAAGAACAAGACCACCGCACTTCTGCTCCACGCCTCCGGTGTAATGCCACCATGGAGGACGGAGTTAAAGAGCTTCTGAAGGACTTCAAGTACCGGTTTTCCACCCGCTTTCAGAAACTCCGCTGTAATTCCATCCTCGCCTGGGGCCATGTCGTTTTTAAGGTACTGGAGAGCCATTCTAATCTCGCTCAGACTGACGTCCGGGATATCATCGGAATGATGTCGGATAAGACTCGCTCTTGGATCGTTACTCACACTTGCGTGCGGCTCCAACGATGACGTGTACAGCTGCCCATAGAACCTCTCAATCTCACTCAAAAGCTCAGGTGCCCCGGAAACGATACTGCCACATTTGGTCTTCAGCTTTGACAGTTGGCTCTTTCTGGCAGACAGATCTCTGGCAAAGACTTTGGAGCCTTGGTTCCGCTCGATCGCTTCTTCAATACGAGCTGAATTGAAGTTGCGTAAGTCCAGCCGCATGCGTTTGGAGATCTGTCTGTTCAGTTGCCTGTATGCTGTCAAATCTGTTGAAGAATGTAGCTTCATCTCCCGTCTAACAGCCATGAGATTAAGAGTGTGATCGGAGAGTTTTTGTGTTCTTCTGCGGCGGGTCTTGCAGAACTTAGCTCCGACCGCATGGACAGTTTCCACGAGCTTGTCATTCAAATCGTCTACTTCATTGCAGTCTTCTATGCACTGAAAACGGTTTTGTAACTCGAGCTGAAAGGTTTCGGGATTTTGGATTAGAGCACGAGGGTGACGGTGTAGTGTTATGCTACTTACATATCATTTTACACTATTTTAAATTCATTTTTCCATTCTGTTTTGATTTTCTGCATTCACCTCAAAACTGGATATTTTGTATCACCTTTATTTCCATAGGATCCTGTAACGTTTTTAAACCATAAGAACACAATAACAAATCATTTTCACTTCGTATTTTCACGCTATCAGCATTTTTTAATTTGGTGTCGATGGAGTCTACCTTATTCGATCTTTTATTTAGTTCTCCGTAACTCTGCAATTTCGGGCTTAGTGCGCGCTGGTGCGCTACCTTTTTTCCTATAGCAATAATATCTCATTTTTCACTTAAATCTTGCCGTTTCTCTATTACGAGCCTAAAACCAAAATTTGACATGTTTTGACATCGTTGTTTATCTGGTTGTCATGGCAATTTTTATTCAATTTCGCTACCGGTCTGTTGTTTCTACTTCGATAATTCCACATAAATACTCTTTCCTCTTGGCCATTTACAATAAATTTGCTTTTAATTTAAATAATTTTCCGTTCTCTCTAAAAAGGTATAAAAGCCGAACAATCGGTCAAGAAAGGCAGTCTCGCTTTGGTTCTCAAACTCGAAGCATCTCCTAAAGGCCTTATCCCGGGGCCGCACTGCCCCGGGATCCTGCAAGCCTCTGTCCTGCCTGAAGTCGCCGGATCCTACAAGCCTCTGTCCTGCCTGAAGTCGCCAGATCCTGCAGGCCTCTGTCCTGCCTGAAGTCGCTGGGATCCTGCAAGCCTCTGTCTTGCCTGAAGTCGCCGGATCTTGCAAACCTCTGCATTCACCTGAAGTCGTCGCCTAGACACGCCCACGCCTTCACCTACGCTGTGCGTGCTCACTCCAGGCGCTGCGAGCGCTTATTTCAGGCGCTGTGGGCCTACCACCAGCACAGCCTGTGTATAATCTGTGGGCAGCGAATACCACCACCAAAAGCGGTGTACCACTTGGATCTTCGGCCTCAGCTTCAATACTCATCATTTTTATTATCTTTTTTTTAGAAATAATTGTAAATCACGTCACCCATCTTCACCCTCGTACATCAATTTTTTTATATAAATCTGTAAACATCTGTTTTTATATTTTAAATAGATTATTTGTTTTGCCCTATTTTTTGTTGTTTTGTTGTTGCTAGGTTAGGTTATTTTTTTTATTCTTAATTGTCGCTTCACGACATTTTGGCGCCCAACGTAAAAGTTCTCTTTCTCTCTTAATTCCATAACTCTTTATTTATTCATCCTTTTCATATCTTCCAAATTCTAAAACAACACTTCATCTAGTGTTTCAACTTATCTGGATTATATTTAGACCTACATTTAACACTTCACTTACATTCATCACTTTAATATTTTTATTCTAGATAACTTAAAGAGGTATAATTTTTAATTAAATTTCTATTTCTTAAACTTAACTTTGCACTTATAACAATGAAAATGGTTATTAAGTACGAATTCCTTAACAAGGCCGAGCTCGAATACGAAGTGAAGATTAGATATGAGGAACCAGCTAATACTGTTTTACTTCTAAAAAAACAGGTTTCGCGTTTAGTTGCGAATTCTCATCCTGAAGATATTCTGACTTCTCCAATTCCGATAGAAGATGACTTGTCTCAAATTGATTCTACTTTGACCTACCTGGACTGTAAAATTAAAAAAATTTCACAAGGTGAAACCAAATACTTACGACTAATAGAAACTTTTATTAATCATGTTTTTTACAGATTGGAACGAATAGATACTGACTTATATCCAGATTTTAAAACTATTTTCGATACTTTGAAGATAAAATTCGACACTATTACTAAACAATTTGAATCCTTGGCTCCAGCTTCAACTGAAAATGACCCTCCATTACTTGACCCTCCTGTTGACCCGACTGTCATGGAACTCCCTCTTATTTCTCAAACTTCTGTTCATGTCCATACCCTTCCACCACCTCAATCTTTTTCTCCAAATAACGCCTTCAAAGATCTGAAAAGACACACCTTCAATGGTAAAAGCTGTCCAAGATCCTTTTTTCAAAAACTTGAAGAATACTGCTTAGCTCGTGGCTTGTCCAAAGACTTGTTGATTTCACAAGCGTTCGAAATTTTCACTGACAATGCTCTTCATTGGTTCAGATTTAAATATAATCAGAATCCAAACTTAACTTGGAACGAACTTTCTTCTTTATTAATCAAAGACTTTGGTGGTTTTGATTATGATCATAAACTTTTAGAAGCGATTAGGAATCGAACTCAAGGTCGTGATGAACCTATCGTCATCTATATTTCCATCATGTCTGGAATGTTTTCTCGTCTTTCGAAGAAACTTTCTGAAACAGAACAATTGGAGATTATTTTGAGGAATATTCGCCCATGTTATTCAGTCTTCGTAGCTCTAAAAGACATTGACTCTATCGACTCTCTTCTGGCTACTTGCCAAAACTATGAAAAATTCCTAGACAGAGACAAACAATTTAAAGAACCAAATGTACAACAAAGTCCTCTTATTTCTGAATTCAACTACAAGCATTCCACTTCAAGTTCAGTTGACTCTCCAAATTCTTCTAATAACTCACGACCTTCTCCTCCCTTCATGAATAAATTCACTTCATCCTACAAATACCCTTCTAGACAAGTTAATAGTCTCTCTCAAACTAAAGCTCCTCAACAAAGCTCTATTTGTGTTCGCTGTCGTAAACAAGGTCATTCTTTGAACACTTGTACTCAACCACGATTCGTGATTTGTTTCAAATGTGGTCTTAAGGGTTTTAAAACTGCAGATTGCCCTACTTGTTCTCCCAAACCTAATACTAGTTCAAAAAACTAACTGCTGACTTGAAAAGTAACTTAAACTTTGGTAATGACGATTGGACTAATTGGATTAAAACAATTCAAAACTTCTTTTCTTGTTACAAAATCTCTTCTACACTCTACTCCGACGAACAAGATCTTAATCGTCCATTCGTAAATGTCAAAATTTATGATTTAAATTTATCTGGTTTACTAGATTCTGGCAGTTCAGTAACTATTCTGGGTAATAATTCTCATTTGGAAATTCTTAAACTGGGCTGCAAACTTTTCAAGTCAGATCTTATTACTGTCTCTACTGCTAATAATCAAAAAGTTGATTCCTTGGGTTATTTTGAGTTACCTGTTCGTTTCAATAATCAAACTCATTTAATTAAAGCTTATGTTTTCCCTGAAATATTTCCGTCGCTAATATTAGGTATTGACTTTTGGAGAAAATTTAATCTTTTACCTAGTGTTTTATCTTCCCTTAACTTTACAGAATCTAAATGCTCTGCTATCGAAACTAAAGATACTAAAGTTTTACCTTATGAGCATTTAACTCCTAATCAAAAGAACATCGCTAATGACATCATCCAACGCTTCAAGACAATTTCTTTTGAAGAAAAAGGTATCCTGGGAAGCACACACTTAATCACTCACAAGATTGACACCGGTGATTCTCTTCCAATCAAACAAAGATGTTACAGATTGTCTCCTGAAAAACAAAAGGCGTTAATTAATGAAGTTGACAAGATGCTGGGATGGAACGTCATTGAACAATGCGAAAGTCCTTGGTTATCTCCAGTTCTCATCACTCCGAAGAAGAATGGTGAATGGCGTTTCTGCGTAGACAGCAGGAAGCTTAACTCAGTTACACGTCGTGATGCTTATAGTCTGCCACTAATAAGCGAAATTTTGGACAACTTGAGGAATGCCAAATACTTATCAAGCATTTACATTGCGAAACCATTTTGGGAGATTCCTTTGAATCCTGC